AAGCCACAGACTCCTCCCTAATGCCCTCAAAGCTCTCCATTACCAAAAAAACCAGCAATAGACAACGCTCTAAACAAACAGAAAAACCTCACCAAGTTCCCAGCCTAAGCTGCAATACACTTCGGCGGTCACCAGATGTCGCTATAGGACACGAGAAAGCACAACGCGAGCCACTTGCTACCTTGCAAGGCAAAAAAAGAGAGCGTTTATTTTCTGACTCCAACTTTTATACTTCTCCAAAGGTGACAGTGGATTGGAGAGTGAACGGGCCACCTCTCCGAAGACATTGGACAAAGCACTAGTACATCAAGTCTCTCCACCCCCATGGAGGAATGCAAAACAATACGTTATTTACAGAAACTGTGTGGGAAAGTTTCCCAATAGAATGTAAATTCAGAAGGCTTAAGAAAACTCAAGAATCAGGGCGACAACTGTACTCTAGGATTGAAAAACTAGTTTACAGCTGTGACATAGCAAAACCTGCTATTAATTTATTTTGAGTCAATGCAGGCTGTTCACTCAAGTGGTTCTCAGTGTGTAAAGTTAAACTAAAGGTAACACCAGCTACTTGGTAGGTCAATGAGAAACATTTTTTCTTCCAGCCAGTCCTTTTTCATGTACCCAAATGTGTTTTGCTTTCTTGGTTTTTGTTTTATTTGTTTGTCAGTTTTTCTGGAAGTGCTGGCTATTTGCAGTGCACCTGGAACAGCAGCTAGAGTTGTGCATGCATGAGACTTCTGAAAAACAGGTCTAATTTTTTTCCTGGACTTGGAGGTGGCTACATATATAAAAGGGAGCCTACAAAGTGAGGTGAAGAAAAAATTCAGTATCTTCTAATGTAAGCTGTTAATTTTCTTACTTTCAGCATCACTGTGGGTGTGTGACACATACACATTAAAAAGATGGTGGGGGGATCTCTGCTTGCTGTAGGTTTATTTCTTGAATGAGTTAGAGAGCTGTGAGGAAGTTTTGGGCTCCCTGTGTGGTTTATCCAGGCCTGCAGGGAGGGCTTGGCCATGATTCCCTCTGTGCTGCAGGCAGCCCTGCAGCGTGGCAGCAGTGGCTTGCCTCTGGTGAGTTTGCAGGCAGGGTGCTCCAGCACTGCAGTGCTCAGGGGCAGTTTCCTATTATGACATTAAGGCTTGAATTCAGGAGCGCCTCTTCCCACCCAGTTATTGTTTGTACCACAGGAGCCTCTTTGGACAGTGTTTCCTGGCAGTCAAAAAGAGAGTATTGCAGAGACAAATTCCTTACTTGCTGTCCTCCCCCCGCCCCCAACTGTATTCATATTTTGTCCATTCCTTCTTCAAAATATAGATTTGTAAAACTCATACTCTGTGTCCTCAGATGCCCTTCCCAAATCAAACCTTGGCTTCATTGCAAATTGCACTGCACTAACTATCATTGCCTTAAATTTGTTTTGGTGCAGGCAGGATCACTTTGGAAGTAAGTTGTTTACTTCATTCCTGCAACCTTTTCAAGCTTGTGAATGGAAAAATTGTGATAGCAAACCAAGGTTTTATTTTTGCACTGTCAGCTGTGAGTGGCTGGTAGCCTTGGTGGAGGGTGCAGTGAATTAAACGCCTGCAGAACACGCATAACAAAAGTAAATGTAGACTAATGTTAGAAAGTGGACTGATGTTGGAATGTGGATATTGAAATGTGAAGAGAGAAAAAGAGAGAGAAAGAGAGAGAGCGAAGGGGAGAGCGAAATACACCCCCAAGGTCCCCTCACCCACAGCTGTCTGTAAGTTCTCCCCCATTCCTGCTAGGCAGAGTGAAAACGGGGTGGGGGAGAGGCGGAACACAGAGTTAAGGGCAAGGCTGGGAAAGAGGGACACCGCTAGAGATAAGATCAAGGCAGAGATAGCTGACTCTCACTAAGTGGTTTATTTTCTTAAGCAAGATTTCTTTTTTCTTTCTGTTTTTTTTTTTGTTGTTGTTGTTGTTGTTGTTAAGAGGAGAAGGCGTTTGTTCTGAAGAATGAGTCTGTAAGACTAAAACTGTTAAATGTTGCCCAAAAAGTAAAAAGCAAGAGATGAGATACATCTCATGTTAAAATTGGCCTGGTGTTTTTTATTTAACTAATTATAGCTCACAGGAAGAAGAATTGGCCTCTGCAGCTTAACACAGCTGGATACAAGAAGAAGAGGCAGATGTAGAAACAGCTTTTGGTTAAACCAAGAAAGTTTTAAAGAAAACTAATGGTAAAAGTTAATGCAGTATTGTCTGTCTTTTAACACTGTGTTATTAAGAAGTCCAGGTACCACTGAAGCAGCAATCCGAACCACGGAAAGAGGGTGAATTCATGCCAGCAAAACCAAAGGACTTGTGAAGAAACCTGAGGAATGGACTATCACATCTAAACCAGGTGATACCAAATTGACTTTCAATGGGACTGGGTGGTAAAATGGTTTGGGAAGACCCAAATGATCCAAGGCAGGTACAAAGAATAACACCTCACTGAGAAATAAGGCAAAGCTTGCATCACTGGTTCTAAGCCCTGCCTGAATAAACCCTGAGACGCCTCCGACACCTCCTTGGCAGAGGAACACTGCCACTTCAAACAGGAGGATCGGGAGTGTTTCAGTCAAAGAGTTCTTATAGCCTGGCCTTAGCCTGTGGCTTGTACAGGGAAGAAGAGAAATTGCCATCGGTACTGTACTGTACACTTTATGTGATTCATCCCAATACTGGACACGCTAGCTGGCTTAAAGTGAATGTTCAAATTATGGGAATAATTGGAGTTGTAGCTCACAAAATCTATGCTCTTGTTGCAAGAGGTATCAGTAGTGAATCAATTCCCTATACAGATAGAACTCAAAACAACCGAAGTAATACTTTGTTTTGTGGATGGATAATTAGTGCCTGTTGACTGAGAGATACCTGAGGAACGGTGGGAAACCACAGTTAAGGAGTGTCGAAAAGGACTTGATTAAAAAGATCACTAAAAAGGAGTGACAAGGGAAACAGAGGGCAAGCCTGGACTGAGCACTGTACTCACCACCGAGAAGATCACACGTACCTGCTGTGGGAAGCAACCCCACAGGCAGGGGAGGTGGGGGTATAAGCCATGCCAGACCTCTGTCATTCCTGTTTCTGTCTCTCATTTGTTGTCTTTTCCCTTCTGAGATACCAGCAAGATCGTGTCCCAAATGCTACAGAAAGTATTACACGGAAAGGAACCAAAGTTCCTTTTTGTTACACACACCCATGTCAACAGCCACAGACCCACCCAAACTGAGTACCTGCAGGCAAAATGGGGAAAATATTGGATTACAAGGAACTTAGGAAAAAGTGGTAATAGACGGGGCATTGATGGTCTGAAAGGAGAGAGATGGATTTGTTTTACATTTGATCTTAGAGATATAGTCCAAGATTCGGTAAAAAGGCAATTAGTAAACAAAAAGGTGAAACCAGCACAGCAGTCTAGCTCTGTGTTGACCCCAAATTATATACTGAATTGTATTATAGGACTCCAAGCAGTTATAGAGGAGATACCAAACAAAGCTGCTCAGGCACTGGAATTAATATTGAATCAGCAAAGCCAAACAAAAACTGTAGTGTAGCAGAATAGGTTTGCTTTAGACTATTTATTGGCTAAAGAAGGGGTGTTTGTGGAAAGTTTAATATATCAGATTGTTGAAAATAGATGACAAACGGGAGGTCATCTTAGAAAAAAACAACGCAGATACCAGTCCAAAAATGAGAAAACAATGTTAAAAACTAACTGGTGGGGTAAAGTATTGAGGATGGGATGGTGGAAGAAATGGGGATTCTTCCTTTTATGCATTACAACTGTTTTGGTGTTTCTTCCTTGATTAATCCCATGCTTTATTTGATCACCAACACAGTCCACAGAATGCAAGTGGATAAGAAATATTGCTCAAACCAAATGATTTATAAATAATAAGAGGAGGGATTGTGAAAAATGCATATTTTATGATTGGCTTTTTACAAATATGGCAATGAATATTAGATGTGTAATGTTAGAAAGTTATGCTGTATTGATTCTCTGAAGTAGTGGGTTGAATAGAGTTTTAGGTTATAGCATAATGTTGGAATAGAAACTATGCTATGTAAGATGCTTTTCGATTAGTTCAAGAAAGAGATGAGATAGTCAAGCAACTCTTCACACAGAGATAACAGTGACAGGGCCCATAAAGAGTTACAGCCTCCTCATCGGAAAACACAAACATTCTTCCACCTTCTCTCCATCTTTATGGAGCCACCAGGATTAAGGGGAAGAAGTTGACAAAAACCACAAAGATCTTAATTAGCAAAGAATTTATACATCATGTATGAGATGTATGAATATGCAACAGGCCACTGCTTTTAAGGTTATTCCTTTGTTCATAAGGTATGCTTTTTGTGACATAGTGTCTGTGAGCATCCGGACGCCAGTAATTCTTGCATTTTTCTTGTTTTATAATTGTCCTAACTCTAAATTTTTATTACTTCAATTGTATTACTATTTAAAAAATCATTTTATTGTTATTAAACTTTTAAAATTTTAAAAATCAAGTGATTGGCGTTTTTCAAAATTGGGCTGCAGAGATCCCCCTGCAGGTCCGTGGGGATGCAGAGATCCCCCTGCGTGTCCATGGGGATGCAGAGATCCCCCTGCAGCTCCGTGGGGATGCAGAGATCCCCCTGCAGCTCCGTGGGGATGCAGAGATGCCCCTGCAGGTCCATGGGGATGCAGAGATCCCCCTGCAGCCCCTGGAGGAGCCAGGCTGGAGCTCGGGGATGCCTGAGAGGAGCTGTGACCCCGCGGGCAGAGGGGCCCCGCTGGAGCAGCCTGGCCTGGCAGGACCGAGCCCGTGGCACAGTGACCCACGCTGCAGCACTTGGAGGGGGCTGTGCCCCAGGGGATGGACTCGGCTCGGAGAAGTTCCTGGAGAAGTCTCGGCTGGGAGAGAGCGCAGGGTGCAGCAGGGAACGACTCCTGTCCCTGAGCAGAGGGAGAAGCCGCGGGGGATGAGCTGAGCATGGCCCCATTCCCTGTCTCCTGCCCTGCCGGGGGAGGAGGTGCAGCTGGGAGCAGGGAGCCGTGGGGAAAGCTGCATTTAAGGCTCTGCACTGACTTCTCCTCATCCTGCTCTGAGTCTTTGGAGTTTTCTGCCAGAAATCTCTCCCCTCCCCCGCTCACCCACAGGGCTTTGGGCAGGTTTCCCTTTTTGGGGGAAATCAAAGCGAAGCAGCGATGCACTAATGAGGGGCAGGAGAAGTGAGGCTCCCGGGCTTCCCGCAGAGCCGGAGGCACGGAAGGCGCAGGGCCGGGAAAGCCGTGGCGGGAGGTGCGGAGAAGTTTGTTTGTGTGGGCAGCTCAATCCCGCCTCGGGCCCGGGCCCGTCCCGGGGCTGTTGCTCATCTCCGGCTTTGCCCTCACGCAGCGCGGGGGGCCCTGAGAGCGCGGGGCGAGTCTGGGCCGTGCGCAGAGCCCGCCCCCAGCTCGCTGCCATTGGCCGCTGGTGCCGTCAGTCGCGGTTGCGGCGCGCTGATTGGTGGGAGCGGGGCGCAGCACGGCCCCGGCGGCGGGCTGAGGGCGGCCGTGGGCGGGCAGCGGCGCCATTGGCGCCAGGAGCGTCTGTGCGGGCCCGGGAGCGGCGGCAGCGGCCGGAGCGCGGTGAGGCGGCGTCGGCGGAGCTCGGAGGCGGCCCCGGCGCAGGTGGGAGCCGCGCTGGGTTCTGCGGGGGCTCGGGGCTGGCTGCGGGCGGAGGGGGCGGCAGGGGGCTGCGGCGGGTCGGTGGTGCCGTGTCCGGGCCGTGCTGGCCCCGGGCTGAGGGCGCGGCGGGAGCGGCTGCCCGCGGTCTCCTTCCCGCCGGGGCCTGGGCAGGAGCCGCTGCCGGAGCAGCGCTGGCTCGGCCCGGCTGCTGTGGGTAGGACCGAGGGGGCTGCCCCGCGGCCGGGAGCGGGCGGGGAAATTCCCGTCGCCGGAGGTTTCTGTGGCCGGAGGAGAGCGAGGAGTCCTGTAAAAGTGACTTTATTGCTGAGCAGGGGGAGAGGCCGTGGGGCATTTGCCGTGCGCTCTCTGCCATGGTTGTAGTCCGCAGCCTCCTTTTTATCCTCATTTCCCCGGCCGCATCTCCCTCTGCCTTTGCCCACTGGCTGAGGTCCTTGGAAGGTTCAGACTTCCCGATGCGCCTGCTGCCTGTCCTCGTTAATATGCACCCTCCTTTTGTATAACAGCCGATATTCATGGCTCTGTTAAGTCTTTGTTCTTCTCCTCGAAGTTCAGGAATGTAGCGGGACTTTGAGGAGCTCTCTGGGTCAATTTGTGACATTTATTGGAACTGATGGTTTCTCCCAGTTACTTCCTTAACTACAAGTGCCTGGCCCTATCTCCAGGCAGATTCACTCCTTGACTCTGTTTTGTTCTTCCCGGGTCCTCTTTGGTTTTGGGATTATTCTCGGTGCCCTCATTCCCTGTCCTTTTGTAGCCGTTTGTGGATCAGGAGGCCTGGCTGCCACCTGCATCCCCTGGCTCAGCTGCTGGATGAGCTGCACTGCCAAGGTGTGGAGCATGGTAAAAAGATGAGAGTTGCTGCAGCACAGAAGAGGAGAAGCAGCATTCGTGTAACCCCTGGTGTGCCGGGGAGCCACGAATGTGTGTCCCATTCCCATCCTTTCTATGTGTGGACCAATACATAAAAGCTCTCCTATTTCCTTTCTCATCTTTTTCAGCACTTTCCTTTGTCATCTCTTTGCCAACAGCAGTTTGAATCATTTAGTTTTCCACAAACTCCTCCTTTTTCTGCTCACAGATAATCTGACCCCATCCCCTGGTGAAATGCTCCGTTCCTCATTTCAGTGGATTGGTCGGCAGGAAGGTCAGGAGCTGGAGCTGTCTGGTTGGTTCTTATTCCGAGGACAGCTTGTAATCTAATGATGCCATTGAAATGATAAATGGGTTCTCTCTTTCCTGATATGAATTGGTTTGGGTTCCCAGGGGCTGGTCCATGGTGTTGTAGGATTTGTTCTGGTGGTCCTTCATCTTTTCCCCATTTTTGGGTGCTGCCTGCAGCCGGGGCTGCATCAATTGACCGCTTTTTTCTAATTACATTATCAAATACTTGAATTCCAACTGATCTCCCTGAACTTGTTCTAGCAAAAGCCCCAGTGCTCTGATACACCCTGTACAGCACAGACAGTGACAGCAGATGTTGGAGTGGGCAGAGGGATGATCCCCCCGTTATTTTAGTGAAGTTTTCACAACATTCTCCATTTGCTGTTTCCGTTTGCAGCTTTACCCATTTCTGTTGCAGAGACAGAGATCCTCACCATGGGCTCTGCCTTCAGCTGTGCAGATTCCATCTGTGCAAGCTGGCAGAGCTTGGGGTGAGGGGCAGAGGGAATCAGCCAATTCCTGACCCAGGCAAGAAGAGCCAGGTACATTGTCCCCACTCTGCCCCAGCAGTGTTAATTTGAATTGCTGAAGATCCTCCCCTGGGTGCCTGGAATGGAGCTTCTCTTCCAGAGCAGCCTTCAGCAGCCTCACATGTGGCCCTTCCACAACCTGCTGCTTTTTCTCTTTTTTTTCCTTCAAATCATCTATTTACTGTTTTTGAGTTAAAGGATCACTTTTAAATCTCTTCCAGCTTTACAAAATGTTGCCTAAAGGTGAATGTTGAAAAACCCAGACTAAAATTTTGGTATCTCTAAGAGCCACACACCAACATACACAAAAAAATTCCTAGGCAATTAAGTTTTTTCTCCTTCTCCTCGTTGTAAAAATTCATTTTCTCATCCCTGACCCAAACCTAACCGGCAATATAGAAGTAGGAGTTATAGAAAAAGTACACTAATGCTCTAAACTTTGCACTGAAACTGCAGGAAAAAGCAAAACTCCACCAGTATGTTTAGTGTTGGAGTCAAGGCATTCCTTGATTCTGGCCAGGATCTGCAACAGAAATCCTTCCATCCCCACATAGCCCAGGTGTGCAGCAGAAAAAATCATTCCATGACATGTGGGTTTTACTCGATTTCCTCAAACTTGATGCAGTCTGAAGCAATCTAAATGCATTGGTTTAATGTTCTATTGTTTCAAGTCAAGGGTTTCAAAGACAGGTCTTGCCTGATCAAGCACCAGGTGATCCACACTGGGGAACGGCCCTATGAGTGCTTGGAATGTGGGAAGAGCTTTGGGTGGAGCTCACACCTGAGAACACACCAGCGCATCCACACAGGGGAGAGGCCCTACGAGTGTCCCCAGTGTGGGAAGAGGTTTCAGACCAGCTCTGATCTCCTCGTACATGAGCGGATTCACACAGAGGAGAGGCCCTTCCGCTGCCCCGACTGTGGGAAGGGCTTCAAGCACAACTCCAACCTGACCGTGCACCGGCGCATCCACACTGGGGAGAGGCCCTACGAGTGTGGGGAGTGTGGAAAGAGCTTCTCACAGAGCTCCACCTTGACCCAACACCAACGGAGGTGCCACTAAGGGAAGCTCTGTGAGTGCCCCGAGTGAGGGAAGAAGCTTGGAGTGTGGGAAGAGAGAGAGGGAAGAGCTTGGTGTGCTGCTGCAGCTCCATCCCCCATGGGAGAATCCAGGCTGGATGATCCCCAGTGATGCCTGTTGGGCAGAGCCCTGCGGATCCTTGGTCCTGGTGATCCATGCTGGGTGTGGGGAAGGTGTTGGCTTCTTCTCCTTGTGCTGCTGTGATTTGCAGGGGTTCCCATGGATGGGGGCTGGGAGGTGAGTTGGGGTCCTGGCGCACTGCGGAGGGGCTCATGGTTCGGGGGGGTCCCAGCGCTTTGGGGGGTCGGTGAAGGGGGGAAGCAGTGAATGGGGGTGTCCTGGTAAATTGTGGGGGTACCCTGCTGATAATGAGGGTCCTGGCTGATAATGGGTGGGGACAGGACTGAGCCCCAAGGGACCCCCCCGGTGCTGGGCATCCCCCTGTGATCCCCCAGCGCTTTGGGCCCCTCTGGTCCCTCCCAGTCCCATCACTGTTCCTGGGGGTCTCGTGGCTCTGGGGGGTCAAAGGGGAGGGGATGGAACCTCCGTCATGGATGGGGGCACAAAGGGGAGTCCGGGCCCAGTGCTCGGCGGGGTCGGTGCACAAGGGGGGCCCGGTCCCTGTCCCGGTGCACGGGGGTGGCGGTGCCTGGGGGCTCCCAGTGCCCGGGGGTTTCCCGGGGTTTGAGAGGGGGTCCAGTCCTAGTCCCAATGCTCGGTGAGGGGCGGCAGTGCACGGGGGCTCCCACTGCTCGGTAATTGGGGGGGTGTCAGAATCCAGGACATCCCTCTGGCTGCCCTGGATGGCACGAGACCCTGGCAGGGGGCTCGGAGACCTTGGCATGGTGTCAAGAACACCGATGGCTTTGGTTTTAGCCCCTGGAGAAAATTGCCAACTTTGTCTGAGGAATTACAAGCCACAAGGGTTTGAGTAGCGTGGTAGGTGAATTAACACAAGGTGGAAAAGTAGCATTTTGGAGTTCTAAAATAAGGTGTTCAAGGGAACAAGATGGAGGGATTTGGGCGTGTCCTGACCTTCTTCTTCTTGCCCTCCATGTCTTGCTGAGTTGGTGACACTTTTCTGTTGGTTGAAGGTAGAGACACACTGTCCAACATAAATGATAGATATTGGCACGTTGCTGTAAACACAGTACAGGTAGTTTTTAGTGTAGAAGGCAAACAGCGCCCTGAGGGCAGGGAGACTGCCACAGACCGACCTGCTAGACAGAGCTCAGCAGAGCGGACAAAGTGTATTAGAGATAAGGGAAAATAAACGGCCCTGAGAAGCAAAGCTCCACATCTCGACTCCTTCTCTGGCCCCGCGCGGGCTGGGAGAAAAGGACTTTTCACAATCTCGGGGTCAATAGGTTCATTCATATTCATTCTGCTGATTTCGCATTACACTTACAGCTAGTTACACTTGTACTTGGTTTGTGTTGGAAAGTACAGAAAGAAGTCTTGGGTCACTCTGGGCTGTTTGTTTCAAGGTCTGAGGAGTCTTTCTTATCTCTTATCTCTTTAGCTTGGAAATTTGCATTCTTTCTCCTTAGTTGGGGTAGTTTTGCTAGTGCTGCAGTTATTAGACTAATCAGCATATTCTGCTTATGTTAGCAAGCTCAAAGTGGCACATTTCACCTAAATCCAAATGGATTTCTACCTTGTTAAATTTTCACTCTGTCTCAGTGTTGATGTCCCCAAGTGTCCCCAGCAGGTGACGCGTGGCCAGGTGGGCCCTGGCCTCCCACAGCTGCTCAGCCTCGGCCATTGTGGCCACCAAGGCCACATGGAAATCAGAGGAACCGCTGTTGTCCCCTCCAGGGTGGCCTCGATGTCCCTGAGCCGGCGCTGCAGCTCCCAGAGGAACGCGGTGGCTTCGTCACACGCGGCCACCAAGTCCCCCAGCAGCCCCAGGTACAGCTCCAGCCGCTGTCCCCTCCCGGTGGCCACATCCCTGCAGGCGTCGCGGGGCTCGGTGGCCGCCTTGGCCAGCCGGGCCCAGCTGTCCATGAGCCTGTCCAGCACACGCCTGGCGCTGGCCAGGGCTCTCACACAGGCCCAGGTGGTCCCTGGGGTGTCCCCGAGGTTGGCCAGGGTCCAGCCCAGGGAGGGGACAGGGCGGTGGCCCAGGGAGGGGACACAGTAGTGGCACAGGGTGTCCTGGAGGTGAAAGATCAAGGTCCCCAGAGCCACACGCAGGAACTCTGGGGACATGGCCAGCAGCACCTCCCTGTGCGGCCTGGCCACGGTGGCCATCACTTCTCTCAGGGTGGCCAAGCATTTCCTCTAGCTGCTGAGGGGGGTACAGGGGAGGTGTCAGGGGCCTGGTGACACTTGTGGCCTCCTGCGGTGGGCCCTGTGCCCTCCCGGGGTCCCCTTTGTCCCCTCCCTGGAGGGCTCTGCTGTCCCCTCTGTCCCTTTGTCACCCCCTCGTCCCCCACTCTCCCCCCCTGCCACCCTCAGTCCCTGTTGAGGAAGATGAAATGGGAAAGCCTTATAAATATGATTGCCTGGCAAAGAATTTGGAAAATAGAGAGACTGAGATGAGAAGGAGCTTTGAGATGCCGGACCTTGGTTGCTGAGTAATGAGATAACAGTAGTGTGGCCAGTGGAAGGCAACCCCCCTTTTTGACCTACAGACAGATCCAAGGGTCAGTCAGAATGTTCTGTCTCATCCCTCAAAAATGAATAGTTTATCCCACATCTGTAACCCTCCCCTGAAGTATCATGTATCTGTAATCCCATTGGTCCAAAGTCTTACTCCGCACCCACTCTGAAGCCCCCTTGATAAGGCGTACCCAGGAGACCAGGGGCCCTTCTTCTGCCCTTCTGCCCTCCCCTTCTCTCTTGGAGCCTCTTTTGGAACTCTCTCTCTCTATCTCTCCCTGCCCCCACTCCTTGGGGCGTGCTCCAAGCTGTGGCTGGCAGCTCCCAGCAGGGCCCCACAATAAACCTAAGACCTGACTTCAGAGATCTCTCGTCCCCATCCGTCCCGGCTGTCCAGGAGTCCAACGCTCTCTACACCAGCCCAGGACCCAGGACCCCCTGAAACCTGCCCTGGTCCCTTCCTGGCCTCTCCAGGACCCACCAAAGCTTTTCCTGTCCCTCTCGGGATCCCACAACCCCCTTCCAGTTGAGCCCCACCGCCCCAGGACCCCCAAACCCTCTCCCAGTCCCTTCCCAGCACCACCAGGACTCACCCAAACCCCTCCCAGTCTCTTTCCAGCACAACCAACCTCATCCCAACCTCTGCTTTTCCATCCCCAATCTCCTTCCAGCTCCTCCAGGCTCTCTCTGATCCCTCCCAGTCACACCCAGCACCCCCAAACTTCCTCCCAGTGCCCATCAGGACCCCTGGAACCCCATCTCACCCTCCCCAGTATCCTTCAAAGCTCTTCTCAGCCCTTCCAGACCCCAAAGCCCCTCTCCCAGTTTAAACCAGGCTCTTTCCAACTTCCTCCCAGTTAGTCCCAGCACACCCCAATCCCCCTCCCAGTCCCGCCAGTGCCTCCCCCCCTGTCCCCACTGCTGTGGGGGCCGGGCTGTGCCCCAGTGCCGGCTCAGGGTGCTCCAGGCTGACGTGCTCCACCTGGCAGCTGCAGGTGACCCCGCCCTCGGAGTGGGGGGGTTTCCAGCAGCACCAGGAGCTGGTGGGTCCAGTCCCTGTTTGGGACCATGTTGGTGGCCACCACATGCCCCAAGAGCTCCTGCTGGCCCTGGAACCACCTCAGCTGGATGTGGGCAGGGTAGAAATCCCTAATGGGGCAGAGCAAGTGGCCAGGATTGGGCTGGGAGCTTGAGGGGCCCAGCAATATAGACACAGTGGGATGGGCCCTGGGAGAGTTTGGGAACACACTGGGATCAGCTGAGGGGAACTGGGAGAGATGGGAGAGGGCTGGTGTGGCATTGAGAGGGACTGGGAATGAAATTGGATAGGGTGGGGGGAGACTGGAAGAGAGGGGAGGTCTGTGATTGGACTCAAAAGGATTTTGAATGGACTGGGAGGGTGTTACTGTCGAGGCAGGATGGGAATGAGAAGACTAACTCAGAAGGCTGTGAGAGTAAAGCTCCGGTTTATTCAAAATACCCTGGTCTTTATACAGAGCTCCATGAGGACCAAATCCATTGGTCCTGAAGTGAAAACAGCCACACCATTGGTGCAGAGTGCTTGACGCACAGTGATAGAACTTAACTATAAACAATGTGAGTAACAAGAGAGATAGAGAATTATTTACATTCTTTTCCAAACTCTTTCCCAGTCTTCTGCCTGGCTAGAAACTCTCTGTTTCTCTCTTTTACTGAATCTGAGACCCACAGGAGGGCACTGGGAGAGAGGGTGGAGGTCTGGGAGTGGAGTTAGAGGGACTGAACAGACTCAGAATGGAATGGCTGTGGACTGAGAGAAACTGGGAGAGACTCTGGGGACCCTGGGATGGGCTGTGAGGATGGGAGAGACTGGGATGGACTGGGAGAGCCACTAGAGTCCTTTGGGGTGAGGGGGCAGCAGGCACAAGGAGGGCTGGGGGCTCTGGGGCGATTCCCAGGTCTCGGGGGTCTGGCAGTCGAGGTGACCCTGAGAATGCAAAAGTCCTTGCTTCCCAGCCCGCACAGCCAAAGAAGAAGTCGGAATGCATAGGGTCGGCTTCTCAAGGCCGTTTATTTTCTCTTCTCTATAACATGCTTTCTAAAGGAGCTGCGCTCTGTGTAGCAGGTCAGTCTGCGGCAGACTCCCACCCCCTTGGGCTGGTGTTACCATTTTACACTAAAAACTGCCTGTACGATGTTTACATTAACGTGCCAATATGTATAATTTTTGTTGGACAGTGTGTCTCTACCTTCAACCAATAGAAAGGTGTAACCATCACAGCAAGACCCTCACTGAGCACCGGGACTGGGACCGGACTGCCCCTCAAACCCCAGGAATCTCCCGGGTACTGGGATCCCCTGGGATCCACCGGGCCCCCCCTCGTGCACCGACCGCCCCCGAGCACCAGGCCCAGACCCCCCTTTGTGCCCCCCACCCATCACGGGGTTTCTGCCCCCTACCCTTTGACCCCCCAGAGCCGCGGGACCCCCGGGAACAGCGCCGGGACCGGGGGGGCCTAGGGATGTGAGAAATGCATTCCTAAAGGATTCCCAAAACCTGGCAGAAAGCTCATACTGCCTTGGACTTGTCCATGCAAACTCTGAGATTTTATTGTGCCAGCGAGCAGCTGCAAGGAATTATCAATAATCAATATCAGTATGAGCACCTGAGCAAAATGCTGGTGGTCAATAGGAACCTGCAAAAGGCAATAGAGAAATGCAAAAGCCAGTAAAGAAATGCAAAAAGCCAACAGAGAAATGCAGAAGCCAGTAGAGAAATGCAAAAAGCCAATAGAGAATTGCAAACGCATTCACAGTGTTAGAAATGAGAAGCTTGACTCAGCCAATATATCAAGCAGCAATTCAATTTATTAATTTATTAATTAATATGGTAATGTATGAGCAAAGACAGCACTGGGTACAGTGGTGGGGGTTTCCCCCCCCAGCTGCACACTGATTGCTGAGCTTGCTGGTATTTATTGATCATATTCATGCATATTCATAAACTTTTCTCAGCAGTTTCTATTTCCAATTTTTGACGTCACAATTCTTTACTTCAGGATTGTAAATCTATGATGGTTATGTTTAGTTCCTGTGAAAATGCATATTTTATGATTGGATTTTCATAAATATTACAATTAATATTTTCTGTGTAATATTAGAAAGTTATGCTGTGTTAATTCTCTTAAGTAGTGTGTTAATATATTTTTAGGTTATAACACAATGTTAAAATCAAAACTATGCTATGTAAGATACTTTTTAACCAGCTTAAGAAAGAGGTGAGATAATCAAGAAATTCTTCACACAGAGAAAATAGTGACAGGGCACATAAAGAGTTACAGCCCCCTTATCAGAAAAGACAAACATTCTTCCACCTTCTCTCCTTCTTTATGGAACCACCAGGATTAAGGGGAAGAAGTTGACAAAAACCAGAAAAGTTCCTAATTTGCAAGGAATTTATGCATCATGTTTAAGATCTATGAATATGCAACAGGCTATTGCTTTTAAGGGTTATTCCTTTGTTCAAGGCATGTTTTTGGCAGCTTAGTGCCCAAAAACATCTGGGTGTCTGTAATTCCATGCTTTTTTATTGTATTGTAATTGTCCTAGTTCTAAATTTTTATTACTCTAATTATATTAATATTTTTAGAACCATTTTATTATTATTAAACTTTTAAAATTTTAAAAACCAAGTGATTGGCGTTTGTCACAGTTCCTTTCCAATTTCTATACTCTATTGGGATCTGTTCCAGGTTTCAATATCCCAGGATGTGTGTCCCAGATGGTGGGGTCCTTCTTCGTGATGTGGGGTCCAGCTTCTATTTCCTAGGACCTTTAATCTGTGACAGTGATGTCCAGCTTCCCTTTTCGAAATCATTAATCAGTGACATTGATGTCCATCTTCTCTTCCAGGAGATTTTCACCGTTTTGTTAGGAGCTTGGGATAGGTTCACTTCCCTCTTTTGTTTGAATCCTTTATATAATCTAAAGCTACAGTTTAAAACCCTTAATACAAAGCAACATTCTAAAGTTATAAATCAAATACTCTTATTACAACACAGCTTATGGCTTATAATTGTTAATTACAAACAAAAGATTGGTTCAAAAGCCTTCTTCCATGCTTTCCTCTGTCATTTATTAGAACACATTTTTATAACTGCCCCATGGCCGTGTTCCACACATTTCACAATTACAATTCCACAGGTTACCTTGATTTACCTGACATGAAACACAACTTTGTATTTCACAATTCTGCCTTTTCCCTTCTCCCCGTCTCTTCCTCTCCTTGTCCTTCCTACCTGCAGCACTGAGCTGCAGACAGAGACCAGGGAGAACAAATCCCTGCCACAGAACCTCATGGAAGAGGCCATTTGGAACGGCTCCACGGCGCAGGAATCCAACAGGGAGGAAAAAAGATCCCACACAAGGAGGGGCTGCAAACCCAGCCCGGGGAGCTGTGAGGAGGGAAAACCCTCCCTGTGCTGGGAAGGGTGTGCGGAATGTGAGAAGAGCTTAAGGCAGAGCTCAGCCTACTCCTGGCACCTGCAAAGATGGCGGTGCTGGATGCAGAGATCCAAGGGGATGCAGAGATCCCCCTGCAGATCCAAGGGGATGCAGAGATTCCCCTGCAGATCCATGGGGATGCAGAGATCTCCCTGCATATCCCTGGAGATGCAGAGATCCCCCTGCAGATCCATGGGTGTAATATATGATTTAAAATAAATTCGTGCTCAGCACTAAAAAAAATATGGTATCTTTTAAAATGGAATCAAGTGACAAGAAAGAGCAATATACACAAGATTAATTCCTGCCTCAGAGGATGGTTATTCTGAAAGATTATTCAATCTAGAAGATAACCATTGAATGATAAGATGAATAGTTGTTGCCAAACAAGATATTCGAGAGGAATACCATCTAACAAGATTTCAGCAATAAAAACTCTGCACAAGGAAAGAACATGCATTAATATGTGGAAAGGGGCAAGATAGACGAGAGGGAACAGGAAGACCACCTGGAATCCTGCTACATCTGAAAACAGTATAAAGAAGACCCTGCAGAATCAATACGTTGTGGACTGCCAGCGTTACAGGGCTGCATAGCCTGAACCCAGTTCACCCAGCAACAATTGCCTGGCTCGGCACTGTTTTACTTACAGCTTTTGCAATTTTTATTTTGACTTGATTTAATAAATTCCTCTAATTAGTAATTGGCTGATTCATTTATAACAATGGGGATGCAGAGATGCCCCTGCAGGTCCATGGGGATGCAGAGATCCCCCTGCAGCCCCTGGAGGAGCCAGGCTGGAGCTCGGGGATGCCTGAGAGGAGCTGTGACCCCGCGGGCAGAGGGGCCCCGCTGGAGCAGCCTGGCCTGGCAGGACCGAGCCCGTGGCACAGTGACCCACGCTGCAGCACTTGGAGGGGGCTGTGCCCCAGGGGATGGACTCGGCTCGGAGAAGTTCCTGGAGAAGTCTCGGCTGGGAGAGAGCGCAGGGTGCAGCAGGGAACGACTCCTGTCCCTGAGCAGAGGGAGAAGCCGCGGGGGATGAGCTGAGCACGGCCCCATTCCCTGTCTCCTGCCCTGCCGGGGGAGGAGGTGCAGCTGGGAGCAGGGAGCCGTGGGGAAAGCTGCATTTAAGGCTCTGCACTGACTTCTCCTCATCCTGCTCTGAGTCTTTGGAGTTTTCTGCCAGAAATCTCTCCCCTCCCCCGCTCCCCCACAGGGCTTTGGGCAGGTTTCCCTTTTTGGGGGAAATCAAAGCGAAGCAGCGATGCACTAATGAGGGGCAGGAGAAGTGAGGCTCCCGGGCTTCCCGCAGAGCCGGAGGCACGGAAGGCGCAGGGCCGGGAAAGCCGTGGCGGGAGGTGCGGAGAAGTTTGTTTGTGTGGGCAGCTCAATCCCGCCTCGGGCCCGGGCCCGTCCCGGGGCTGTTGCTCATCTCCGGCTTTGCCCTCACGCAGCGCGGGGGGCCCTGAGAGCGCGGGGCGAGTCTGGGCCGTGCGCAGAGCCCGCCCCGAGCTCGCTGCCATTGGCCGCTGGTGCCGTCAGTCGCGGTTGCGGCGCGCTGATTGGTGGGAGCGGGACGCAGCACGGCCCCGGCGGCGGGCTGAGGGCGGCCGTGGGCGGGCAGCGGCGCCATTGGCGCCAGGAGGGTCTGTGCGGGCCCGGGAGCGGCGGCAGCGGCCGGAGCGCGGTGAGGCGGCGTCGGCGGAGCTCGGAGGCGGCCCCGGCGCAGGTGGGAGCCGCGCTGGGTTCTGCGGGGGCTCGGGGCTGGCTGCGGGCGGAGGGGGCGGCAGGGGGCTGCGGCGGGTCGGTGGTGCCGTGTCCGGGCCGTGCTGGCCCCGGGCTGAGGGCGCGGCGGGAGCGGCTGCCCGCGGTCTCCTTCCCGCCGGGGCCTGGGCAGGAGCCGCTGCCGGAGCAGCGCTGGCTCGGCCCGGCTGCTGTGGGTAGGACCGAGGGGGCTGCCCCGCGGCCGGGAGCGTGCGGGGAAATTCCCGTCGCCGGAGGTTTCTGTGGCCGGAGGAGAGCGAGGAGTCCTGTAAAAGTGACTTTATTGCCGAGCAGGGGGAGAGGCCGTGGGGCATTTGCCGTGCGCTCTCTGCCATGGTTGTAGTCCGCAGCCTCCTTTTTATCCTCCCCGGCCGCATCTCCCTCTGCCTTTGCCCACTGGCTGAGGTCCTTGGAAGGTTCAGACTTCCCGATGCGCCTGCTGCCTGTCCTCGTTAATATGCACCCTCCTTTTGTATAACAGCCGATATTCATGGCTCTGTTAAGTCTTTGTTCTTCTCCTCGAAGTTCAGGAATGTAGCGGGACTTTGAGGAGCTCTCTGGGTCAATTTGTGACATTTATTGGAACTGATGGTTTCTCCCAGTTACTTCCTTATCTACAAGTGCTTGGCCCTATCTCCGGGCAGATTTACTCCTTGACTCTGTTTTGTTCTTCCCGGGTCCTCTTTGGTTTTGGGATTATTCTCGGTGCCCTCATTCCCTGTCCTTTTGTAGGCGTTTGTGGATCAGGAGGCCTGGCTGCCACCTGCATCCCCTGGCTCAGCTGCTGGATGAGCTGCACTGCCAAGGTGTGGAACATGGTAAAAAGATGAGAGTTGCTGCAGCACAGAAGAGGAGAAGCAGCATTCGTTTAACCCCTGGTGTGCCGGGGAGCCACGAATGTGTGTCCCATTCCCATCCTTTCCATGTGTGGACCAATACATAAACTGCTGTCCTATTTCCTTTCTCATCTTTTTCAGCGCTTTCCTTTGTCAACTCTTTGCCAACATCAGTTTGAGTAATTTATTTTCCCCCAGACTCCTGTTTTTTCTGCTCACAGATAATCTGATCCCATCCCCTGGTGAAATGTCATATTCCTCATTTCAGTGGCTTGGTCCGCAGGAAGGTCAGGAGCTGGAGGTTTCTGGTGGGTTCTTATTTCGAGGACAGCTTGTAATCTAATGCCATTTAATTGATAAATGGGTTCTCTGCCTCCTGATATGAATTTGTGAAAAACACCAATCACTTGGTTTTTAACATTTTAAAAGTTTAATAATAGTAAAAAGGTACAAAATATAATAAAACAATTAGAGTAATAAAAATTTAGAGTTAGGACAATTACAAGACAATAAAAAGCAAAGAATTACTGAGGTCACGATGCTCAGGCACTTAAGCCAAGACGAGCATACCTTGTGAACTAAGGAATCACCCTTAAAACAATACACAATTAGCTTCTTCTAATAAGAAAACCATAACTTTCTTTTCTCTGGAAAATTTAGGTGTTCCTTGAGTGAGTATCTCATTCCTTAAACCCCCCCCCCCCCATGCTTAGTTTCTCTTTTAACTACTAAACCTTCATTTTATCTACAACGCTACATTTACCATACTATTAAAATGTTAATACAGCACAACTAATCAATATAACATAAGACATATAGTAACTGTTATAAATGAAAATTTGTCCAGCTAAATTATTATGAAAAATAAAATATTTATTTTGCAATCGAATTTTATCTAGCCAGCCACAAGAAAAGAACAGAGCCGAGTCTGGGGTCGGCCCTGGGTGTGCAACAAGGAGTCAGCCTCAGCAGAGGTTTTCCTCCATGCCCACACACCTCCATCCTGGCACAAGCGGGTTTTATAGGGAAAATTCCGCCTAAGGCCAAGATTTCGGCAATCAGTCTTTTCTTCTTTTCAGAGTCCATATGTTAATAAGATTTTCTTTTTTGGTGATGAGGGAGAACAAATCAGTGACTGGAGTTTGTTGAATCCTTTGATGAAATTTACAGGAACGCTGTATTCACATGTATCTGCCTCAGGATTTCCATGATATCCATCTCGGGTCGTTCATGCTAACGATCAGCACCTGGGGTTTCTGTATCTCCCCAGACATGGCCCATCTCCTGGGGAGCTGTACCTTCTTACTTGTAAATCAGTTTCCAATCTACACCCGGTCTCACCTGCGCCTGTGAGGGGGGAGGAATCCTAATACAAACATGTATACTCTAACAAATATTCAATATCACATATATCCTATTAGAAATGGCACGAATTATATCTACTACACATAACAGTAACTATCTGCGTAAAGCCATAAAATATGCATTTTTAACAAATTTGTTGAGGTTCCCAGGGGCTGGTCCATGGTGTTGTAGGATTTGTTCTAGTGGCCCTTCATCTTTTCCCCATATTTGGGCGCTCCCTCAAGCTGGGGCTGCATGGATTGACCGCATTTTTCTAATTACATCATCAAATACTTGATTTCCAACTGATTTCCTTGAACTTGTTCTAGCAAGAACCCCAGTGCTCTGATACACCCTGTACAGCATATGTTGGAATCTGTGGTATTGATGATTCTGAGATTGTAGAAAGTCTCTGTCTTTCTGCCCCGTTGCCAAAGAAGAAGCCATAATTCGTCTGTGCTGTTTTCAAGGTTGTTTATTCATGCTTATCTATCACATGTTCTGCTGCCCTGCTGCAGGTCTGTCCTGCAGGGCAGCGTGCGGGGCTCTGCCCCCAGGGGGATGTTACAAACATTATATACCAGAAACTACTTGTGCTGGATTTACAATAATGTGCCAATATCTATCATCTACGTTAAACAGTGTGTCCCCAGCCTAAACCAATAGAAAAATGCCAACACCACAGTGAAACATGGAGGGCATGAAGAAGGAGAAAAAGGACAAAACACACCCAATTTCCTCCATCTTGTCCCCTCTGAACCCCTAATCTAGAAACCTAAAATTTTACTTTTGCACCCGTGTCACACTTAATTATTACTCTTATCAAACACTCAAAGCTTGTAATTCATCCTGTAAGATTGAAAACTCCTCTCCATGGACAGAGATCACAGACAGTGTCTCTGGGGGCTCTGTACAGGGGGGTTCCTGACCCCTGCCAGGGTCCCAGACCTGCCAGGGCAGCCAGAGGGATGCCGTGGATTCCGACAGCATAGACTGTGACAGCAGATGTTGGAGTGGGCAGAGGGATGATCCGCCCCCCCCCCCCTTATTTTAGTGAAGTCTTCACAACATTCTCCATTTGCTGTTTCCCTTTGCAGCTTCACCCACTTCTGTTTCAGAGTCAGAGATCCTCACCATGGGCTCTGCCTTCAGCCCTGCAGATTCCATCTGTGCAAGCAGGCAGAGCTTGGGGTGAGGGGCAGAAGGAATCAGCCAATTCCTGACCCAGGCAAGAAGAGCCAGGTTCATTGTCCCCACTTTTCCCCAGCAGTGTTAATTTGCATTTATAAAGCTCCTCTCTTGGCTGCCTGTTTATGGGTTAAGGGGTCACCTTTAAATCTCTTCTAGTTTTGCAAAGTGCAGCCTAAAGGTGAACGTCGAAAAACCCAGACCAAAATTTTGGTATCTCTAAAAGCCCCGCATAAACATACACAAAAAAATTCCAAGGCAATTAAGTGTTTTCTACTTCTCCTTGGAGCAAAAACTCATTCCCACATCCCTGACTGAAACCTAACCGGCAATATAGAAGTGGGATTATTACAAAAAAATTCTCTAATGTAATAAACTTTGTACTTGAACTTAAGGAAAAAGAAAAACTCCACCAATATGTTTAGTGTTAGATTCAAGTCATTCCTTGATTCTGGCCAGGATGTGCTGCAGAAATCATTCCATCCCCACAAAGCACGGGTGTGCAGCGAAAATCATTCCACGACACGTGGGTTTTACTCGCTTTTTCCCAAACTTAAAACAGTC